CTGCGGCCAGTCAGTGTGGAACCCAGGAGGAGAGGCACCACTGCGGCCAGTCAGTGTGGAACCCAGGAGGAGAGGCACCACTGCGGCCTGTCGGTGTGGAACCCAGGGCAAGAGGCACCACTGCGGCCTGTCAGTGTGGAACCCAGGAGGAGAGGCACCACTGCGGCCTGTTGGTGAGGGGCCAGGACGAGAGGCACCACTGCGACCAGTCGGTGTGGAACCCAGGACGAGAGGCACTACTGTGGCCAGTCAGTGTGGAACCCAGGACAAGAGGCACCACTGCGACCAGTTGGTGTGGAACCCAACACAAGACGCACCACTGCGGCCAACAGTGCACCCGGAGCTTCACTCCATCACTTCTATTCCAGGAAAGCCAACTTGTCCAGCATCAGTGCTCATGGGCTCCAAACACCATAATGCCTAGCTAGCACTTACTGCGTTTATACCGACACTCTAACCCTATTTTACACAGCGTGAAGGCTGTCACAGGGGGTATAATATCCAGGCTCCCACAGAAGACGCCTAGAAGTTTACAGTGAAGTTTTCCAAAGCACTCTTCACCTAAATCCTACTATTCCCACGTACGTTCTTTCTCTGCAGAGAACTGGACAAAAGACTAAGAAGAGCCGAGATGGACCCTGTTCCAGCCCAAGTTAGGCCACCGACTGTGCCAAGCAACACGTGGTGCCACTCAGCACGGAACCTGACCATCCTCCAGAAAAAAAATCTGGGACATGCCATACACAAAGACGACTGCCACTAAAATATCGCTCTGCCACACTGTCGCTCTGGGACACCTCTCGCGGACCAGCAGGTCCGGCACACCCCCGTCGGTGTAACCATCTGCCCGCCGAGGCGCACAGGAGTTGAGCACGGCGGCGGGGCGCAGGCAAGTTCCGCGGGCCCGGCCGCCGCCCCGCCGCTCTGCCCCCCGCCCTCCCTCGCCGGCCCGCTCCGAGTGACGTCACCGCCCCGCCCCCCGCGCCCGGCGGCGCGCGGGTGTGCGTGCGGCGCGCGGCTCCGGAGCTCGGCCGGCGCGCGGCCCGGGATGGGGCGGGCGCTGCCCGGGTCGCCTCTCCGCGCCCCCCCAGCCTGGCCGCACACGCACAGGCACGGACAGCGGCAGCGGGCTCTCCCCGACTCTTGGGGCCGTGCGGATCCTGTGATCCACACAGCGTAAGAGGATTAAAAAAGAATAATCACAAAAACCCACAACCCAACAAAAAAAGCAAAAGCGCACGCACACACACACAAAAGCGCAAACAGACATCCAACCCAAAGCCCACAACAAACCCACGGAACGGGAGAGCGTCCTGTCTACCGGTGTCCCCACGGCGTCCCCGTTCTTCCCCAGAGGAGCGAAGCGAAGTGGTGGGGGAGGGTTTTTCACGTTTCGACTCTCGGGGACGGTTTCTGGGATTTTTTTCCCGTGTCTGCCCTCACCACCCCGCCCGCCCTGTGCCCTCTTCTCTCGCTTTTGTTTGCACTGCACTTTTTGTAGCAAGGGAGGCGGGAGAGTGGGTGGGAGACCTCGCTTTTATTTGTAGCAAAAGAATCAGTTAGAAAAGACGAAGGAAGAAAAGAAAAGGAGGAAAGAGAAGAAAAAAAAAAGAGTGAAGGGGGAAGGAAGAAGGAGAGAGAGAGAGAGAGAGCGAGAGAGAGGGAGGAGGAGGAGGAGGAGGGGAAACGGAGCAGCTAGCTGGGGAACAGAGAGCGCGCCCGGGAGCAGCAGCAGCCGCCGCAGGAAGGAGAAGAGAAGAGCAGAGCGGAGCAGAGCAGCGCGGAGGAGAGGCGGCGCTGGCAAGAGGAGGCAGGCGGGGACCTGGCTCTTCTGGATGCTGGATTTTCGGACTCTCGTTGACTCTCTCCTGCTCCCCGGCGCCGCACTGTGAGAGACACGCACGAGCGTCAGGCAGCAGCGGCGGGGCTTCGCTCGTAGCTGCTGCTGCTGCAGCGGGGCTCGGATTAAATTGGCCGCCCCGGAGCCGACCGGGAGCAGCGGGAGGAGGTGGCGGCGGCGGCGGCGGCGGGAAGCAGCGGCAGGCGGGCGGGCAGCGGCGAAGGCTGCTGCTGGGACCGGGGGAGCCAGCATGACCAGGTAACTGCCCCGCTCCTGACCCATTTTTCCTCCGCCGCCGCTCCCTCTTTGCCGCCTCTTTAGACGCGCTTGTGTGTGTGAGCCCGAAGTGTGCGTGTGTGTGTGTGTGTGTGTGTGCGCGCAGCCCGCACACATGTCCCTCACGCACAACTCTCCCGTGGGTGCCCCAGGGCTTCTCCCCGGCAGCTTCCAGCCCGCTCCCCGCGCCTCCCCGCCGAGTCTCAGCCTGGCGGCGAGGCCTGTTCGGGGAGCGAGGGGAGCTGCGGTACGGGGACGGGGGATGGGGCAGGGAGAGGGCGATTGATGGATCGGAGTCGACGTTTCCACTGAGTGCCGCTGTGCGCGGGCGGGGAGAGGGGAGTACGGTAATTATACACTGTCTGTTTGCTTTGGCGAACGAATTATTAATATTAATTATTTTGTTTATTCTAACGGGTTCGGAGATGGGGGAAGGTAGCAGGGTGAGAGACCAGGCATCTGCCGGTGGAGAAGGGACTTGGGGGTGAGCGGCCAGTAGGGACCCCGGGCGCCCGTCCGAGCACGGCTCCCTCCTCCTCCTCCTCGTTCTCCTCCTCCTGCTGTCTCTCGGCGGAGCGGGGAGGCACGGAGATGCGAAGATTTTCACAGGTTAGGCGTTTAATTTCTTTGTTTACTCTCGCGAAGCCACTTGAAAGGAAGCACATCGGGCTGGAACCTCAGTTTTCCGAGCGTTCGCAAAGGGGTTCTTGAATTTGTTCAGCAAACTTAGCAGCACCCTCTGCGCCGTCTGCTCATGCAAGGAGGCACTCCTTACTGCTGCAGCCGGGCTCTGCCAGACTGTTGTTTTCTTAAACAGTTGTTTCCTTGCACGGAATCCCCTGTTTTGCCTATTATATGTGCCCTCAGTTCTGGACAGAACGGTGTTCTTTCAGTTTTAAGTGATTACCACTCAGCTTTGCATGTATGGCTTTTGAATGCCTGCTTCTCCTTGTTACTCCTCCAGAACTGCTGTCATGCGTATTTTATTCTTTTGCCTGGCCTCTGTACAATTACTTCCTCGTGTAAGGATGGCAGCTTCTCTGCCGTGATTTCGATGTCCATACTCCGAGTTCTGACACACGTAGAAGGGTTAATTTATGTACAAAGAATTGTTAGGGTTTTATGTGTTCCTTCCCTTGTCACCTGAGATGGCGTTACATGGGGGATAAGTCTGTAGGTGCTGATTTACTTTCGAGTTTCCTATTTGCAGAGTATTTGTGATGACACTTGTATTCTCTTAAACTTAGGATTAATGTGGGAAGCTATGATTGTCTTCTCAGCCTTTCAGAGATCGCTTCCAACATACCTTTTGTTCAAGCACAAGCAACTTCTCTGTAATGTTGGGACGTTATTGGGGATTTCGATACAGAGACGGAAAAATGTATGTATCATATTTTTCCTTCTTCTGGTATCTGCTAGTGATTTGAAATGTTGTAACAGTCAATACTTTCTTTTCTTGCTGTAAAAGTGTATAGTAAATGACATCATTTTCTCCTGGGCTGGGAGCAACGAATCCTACAATTCTTGTTATGAATGGAGCAACTCTGAAGAAAAAAAAAAAAAAAAAGATTCTGCCCTGTCCTAAATACGATCATATGTACTTGCATCTTACTTGAGATGGCAATTTTTTGATTGCTGCTTTAAATTGCCTCTCATGAGATGAGCTATTACTGCTTTTTTAATGTGTGAAATTGACAAACTGGTCAGTTTAATAAATTCAGCTGTCACATTTCGCTCAGTCAAAATTGCTAAAAGCTGTAAATATACTGGGGATTTTTAAGGTACCGACTGTTACACAAAAAGAATGGATTTAATGAGATACTTTTTACATGAGTAGCTTTCCAATTTTAGTTTTGTCACTTGTCTTAATATGGTGAGGTATATTTAGATATCTTTCAACGCAAAAATGATGTATAGCTTTTCTGTATCCACTTAAAGCAGTAAAAGCTTTGTCTTAGTAGAAGTCTTCTACTCTTAAGAAGATACTAAGAAATTCAATATGGTTTGTGTGTGCTAAGGCAAGCTATTAGGAGTGGTAAGGCATGGTAAGGAAAATGGTACCTTACTATTTCTAGATTTCAGGAATTTGTCTTAGTACCTGCTTTTAGACCCAGCAGTCATACTACTTTTAAAACAAGCGCTAAAGAATAAGGCAAATAAGCATTGTGCTGTGATGGTTATGTAACTCAAACCACCAGCAGTCAGCAAACTCAATGGGCGTTAGGAAATCAGTGCCTAATCTCAGGAGAGGATGTGCAAGAATCTACTTGGGGATGTGGTAAAGATCCAAGTGTCTGGAGATTTAAGTCTGGTCAGCGATCCACCTTTCATTTTTAACATTGCCTTTTGCTTCTGCGTTTGAGGAATGCAGGGACCAAAACTACACGAGCTGAAGAGTAGGAATTCCCCTTTATCTGCTGCTGTGTGTGCTGAGCCACTAGGGGCCTGTATAAACTGCTCTCGTAGAGCAGATACCAGTGCATGGCATATGCTCACTTTCACCAGGCTTTTTTTACACAGGTGCATAATGTCAAAGCAAAGATGCCAGTAATTCATTCCTTTCTAGTAAATGAGATCTCATTTTTTTAGGAGGTGGGTACAAATTGCATATTATTTATTTTTTTATATTTTGCCCTACTTCATCTGTTTCTCCAGTCCTGTATTGTGTCCAACGTCTCTGCTTTCCTGATTACTGTGGGAGATGGGGATGAACATGACTCAGGAGGTGCAAATTTTGGGCGAAGTTGGATTTGTGTGTCTTCCGCATTTCATATTTTCTGTAAGCTGAGAAAATCAGATTTGTTGCCTGTGTGTTTTTTCTATTAGATTAGTAATGGTACTGTTCCATGCAAGTGTAGGGTTAAAAGATAAAATAAACAGGATTTCTACAAGGCAGGAACCGACATAGATTGATGGTGTATTTAAACTAGCTTTGTAAGTGTTATGTAAGTTTGAGAGTGTGTCAGCTCCAAAGCTTTGGCTGGAGTGTAGTCAGCATTTATGGGACATGGGCTGAAGATGCGTGATACATTCTTGAGTGTCGGTTTCAGAAATTTAAAATCCACCAGCCGTAGCATTCTTAATAGACATTAAGCAGTAAGGTCAAGTATACTTCCACTGTTCCATTGTTGCTTTTCAGTTTTTGAAACAAGGCAGATAATTTGTAGAAGAGCACAGCTGAAATATTTGCATATTGGATTTCCTTCGAAATGAACTTCCATTACTAAGCTCTTTGAGAATTCTCATTTGGAAGGATTTTCAGGCTGAATCACAGTAAGGTCATAAAATCAAAAAGCAGTTTCCCTATGGTATGTTAATTTTTTAATAAGCTGTCTTTTAAAACATCAGAGTCTTATATATTGTTCGGTGTTGGGCTAGTTACAGCAAGAGGGTTTTTTCTCATCTTGCTGACAACAGTTGTGCAAATATTGACTGAGCTTAATTTTCTGAAATGTGTGTGCGCGCCTTAGGTAAAGTTTTGATGAAATGTAATGAAATCTACTTTAAAGGTTTTCTCAAATGATAAGCATTGGCTCAAAAGTGTAAGTCTTGCTGCTTATCAGTAAACCAAGGCGGTGGCTCTGAAATGCAGAGGATAGGCACTTCATTTGTGCTTCGGATATCAAAACGACTAATACGGTATGGATCTATGAATCATTGTATTTCATTTTTGTATATGACTGTGGTGATTTTTAAACTTTTGTTCTCTAACAAGAGTTGAGAGAAAGGTATAGATATTTGCTGGTTCAAGTTCGGTGTCAGTCACATAATGCCATCTCTAGTAACAGGAGCTTGCTTTCACTGTAGTTCTTTTTGATAACAGTTGTCATAACATAGTCAACATGGTATATTTTTATGAAAACCTTCAATTTCACATACTATGTGAGTGTATTTTATTTGCTTAATCCTTGTATTCTTTGGAAGAGGCCTTAAATAAAGCTAGTTAATGAATGTGTGCTGGCAAATTGGCAGCCTAAAGCAAGAATATGTGTTTAAAAATACTTATTTGAATACTATCAGGAATTTACCAAGTAGGAGCAGAGAGGAAGCTTACTTCTCCTGGTGATCTGCTACGGTGAAGGTTGCAATACAGCTGGAGAAATCTGATGATTTAGAAAAAGGTTACATGAGAGTGCTTTGCATATAAATTCCTTTCCAACAAGCTTAATTTCACTTGTTTTTTTAAGAGACTGGGCATTAATAGAGCCGTATTTACTACTGCACAATTTCACCTTATATTTCATAAGCTCAGACGACTTTCGGTAGTTTATTGATAGTACTTATCTTAAACATAGCATGTTTGTGTCTTCCTATAAGAAGTGGATAGCTAAAATGCCAATAAGAGAAATGCAGAATAATAAAAATTGTTTGTATGCAAAAAATTAGGTTAAATTGAAAAAATATGCAGTGCTTTTAAGAACTTAGTAATTATTCAGGTTATTTCAATTCATTCGTAAAAGTGACAAGTCAAACGGAATACTATGAGCTTTTTCAGCTACATCAGCAGGTATACATAGTCTGAACTTCCCTAAGATATTCCCTAAATTTACCTCTTTAGGTGTCTTCTGCTTACATGCTGTGACAGGCTTCTTCATAAACCTTAATAGCACAGTTACAGAAAGAGAAAAACAAAAAAGACTATGTGATTATCTTGCAGTAGAATTTCAAAAGATATGGAGGTTTTTTTTTTCTCTAAAATCAGCTTCTCTGTTTATACTTGATATCTGATTTCTGGTGGGGGTTCTGTGTGTTGCTTTGAATACAAAGAATGGGTAGAAAATGTCCTCCTCATTCAACAGAAAAAGGTGGAATTTCAGGCACTTTGATTTATTGCACGAGAGGACGTGCCCTAATAGCATACTGTCATGTCTTGAGCTTCTTCATATTTAAGCACAATGGAGTTATTTTAGTTTTTCAGTAATCTTCCAGTTAGTGAAGTCACTCCTTGGGTATACAAATTCATTTATTATTTGCAGACAATCAAAATGGATGTCCTGGTTAGTGCCAGCCAAACTGCTCACATATTGTTGTGGTCAGATAATGCACACCTTTTTCCCAAGTAGTATATCAAATGCGGTATACTGAGTTATGCCAGCAATTTTAGTGCTCTTTCTTTTACAGTCTTTAGTGTTCTGGAAATTGTGTATCTGTAAGTCAGAGTTCAGTAAATAGTGTATAAAATCTGGTGTTTTAGGTTGTGGAATCGGGTGATGCCTAAGAAGAATATAGTCAGTACCAATCTGACCAAAACAAATGTGACTTTGGTATGAATTTGCAAATAAATATACATTTGTCTAACAAATTTTCCCAATCCCATGCATCTTACCTTGGCTTATTCTTGGTTTTACCTAGAAATCTAGGTTTTTTGATACTTGCTTTGACTCAGCAAGAAAAAATTCAAATACATTCTGTTAGCAATGTCTTAGTCTTTCTGATCTTCAGAAAATCACTCTTTGCTGAGTTTGAACACAGCAATTCCGCTTGCTTTACAATGTTGATTAAATTAAAAAAATGTTAATTTCCTTTGGAACTATCTGTAGGCCATTTTATTTTTATAAAACTATGCCGAAAAAGCTGAATTTTGTGCATAAGGAATAGAGTGCTATTTCTACTATTTCATTTTTTTGTTCCCTCTCCCTCTCCCTCTCCTTCCTTGCCTTCCTATTCCTCCCCACTCCTTTCCCTTTTCCTATAAGAACAAAGATAAAACTGATCTTATTAAAGTTCACAAAAATACATACAGAATTCTGTACTCCATCCCATTTTTTCATCTTCTTTATGCCACAGAGAATGGGTTTGTGAAGCAGACACATGCCACTGTTTCTAATGCAGAGACATGATTAATTTGTCTTGTTCATCTGTATTACTAAACTTCTGTTAATCATTAGTTTAATTTTATTTTCTTTTTAATTTAGGGAAGGTATTTTTTCCACTATGGAATTTATTGAAGGCAGGGAGGTCTTTTCTTAAAAGGTTGGTTGTAGGACCAAGTATTTTCTGCCTGGGTTTCAGTAATGTGACTGTCAGGTACATAATTGCTTTACCTCTTATGCTACTTTTTGTTAAAATCCTGTTTACATGTGTACTGTGTATTAACACTTCTGGAATTTGGGTATTTTTTTCTATTTTTTTGACTATTTTCTTTTTTTTCTAAAATAAGCAAACAGCTCATTTTTTTGAAAGTCATTCATTTGATGTAAAGAACGTGCAATGAAAGATTTGTAAAACACTGATCAGAAAGTAGGACAGGAAGTTTTATTTATTTATTTTTTCGTTTGTTTAGGGTGGTAGTGTATCTTAGAAAGCTGCTTAACTACTGCCCAGTGCAGCTGTCCTTCCCTGAAAGATTAGGTTTCAGGAGCAATGATGGATGTTGAATGC